AGCCGCTGCCAAATGGCACTCCTCCGCTGGTAGGCGTCCTATATGGGTGATCGTCGTTGGCATATAGTGTGGCATGGTAGTTGAAGTCCTCTTGAACGTTGATGACACCGATATCGTATTGAGAGAACAACTTTCCAATACGGGCAGTGTTTGTTGTCTTATCACCGGGAACATCGTTACCGTTCAGGGCAGCAGGAAGACCAGCGACATTGAATGTGAGGGTGTTGAACGTGCCGGAGGTTTGGGCAATGGCGAGGGGAAGCAGGGAAGAGAGAGCGTAGACGGAAGCCAGAATGGAATGCATCTTGAACTGTGTTGAGGACTTGACAACTTGATCGTGCAGTCTGATCAAATTTCTATCAATGTAGGCTTGCTCTTAAGTATACAACGACCTTGATGTTGACTCGCAGGTGTGGTGCGGGATAGGTTAGGCTACCTTAGACGTCATAACGAATGGTAGGCCAAAGGGATGGCATGTGTGTTTACATGCTGCGCAGTGCACATATTGTTGCAGGCATTGATTTCGGAGGTTTACCGTTGCAGGAAGGACCAATAGCTCACAGGTCTCGGGTGGGTTAGCGTGCCCGAGATCAATGCGAGATCATCCGGGATCCCTGCGCACGTGCGATGGAGATAGACGTTGGGTGGCAGGTTACTCGAGCCTGCGATAGGAAATATAGAGTGAGACGGAGAACTGAGAAGCGTGTGCGAGTGTCGTGGTTTGCTTCGCACACTGGCGGTGGTTGTGGTTATAGTTTTGCAGCGCCGCGAATCTTGATCCATAGCCCCTCGACTGTAAGTAGCGGCTTGCCCTGTCGATCCCTCATCGTGGCTTTCATCCGCATTTTGTTCCCTGTGTCCCCAAGTACAATCGTTTCAATGCCGACAACACCAGGGCATAACACCGGCGCCAGAAGCTTCACGTCCATGGTGGCTGTGGCCAATCGGCCCTTAAGCACCTCTTGTGCCGACTTTCCATCATGAAGCTGGAGTCTCCAATAGTCTTCTCCTACTTTCATAAAGCCAAGGCCATGTTCAAGCACGGTATTGGCAACCAGGATATGCAGCATTGCTTCGTCCATGAGCGTCAATAATGCGCCACCGTGGCAGATCCCAGGAAAGCCGTTCAGGCCGGTTCCATACTTGATCAGAGAAATCGACTTGGTGACTTTGGCGCCCGGCGCCGGCTTCTCGTACAGCTCGAGCCAGTTTCTCACGCCGTTGTTCGCGCGCATTGTGTCGCGACAAAATCGGTCCGTATCCTCACCCGGTTCGGTGCCTCGCTGGCGGTCACATGCAATCCAGCTGGGAGATGTCAGGTACGGTGTAGCCCATGTCAAAGATGCAAAAGCTTCGAGATGTTCGGATGTTGCCGTCATGGTAGAAAGCGGAGAAGTGGTGTACTGTGTCCAAATCGCAACCAGTGCATCAGAGTCTTCCTCTTTATCCTCATTTTCACACTGTTTTCGTCAAAGTATGTGGTTAGTAATGATCCAAGCGCTGATGGGCGTTCTTCCGTAAAAGGTAGGTTGCTGATGGTATCTTTCCTGTAACAGTTGCTCGTAAGACTGTGGCGCAAGGCTTTGGTGTGCTGCGCAGAAGAACCGCCGGATCAGAAGCAGGCGGCAGCAGCCGAGGTAGAAATATCAGTCATGCAGCTGATTTTGGCTCCTGCGCGACTTCGTGAAGCCAACATGCTATGATTGGAAAAATGCAGCATCGGCAGTACTGTACTGGATGATGCAGGTGGTCGAGTGTGCACTGTGCAGGAGCAAGCTGCTAGGTGGAGGCGCGCATTCTTAGCGCGTGTCACGAAGAGTGCTGCAACTAGCACTTTGCCTCTCCACATCCCACAACCGCCAACGCGTGTTCGCATCAGATGTCTTGTCTCCCTCTAGTTGGCGACTACGCTTACTCATACTGAACCGGCATGCATATGCAGTTTCTGACATTCTGAAGGCCTACAGATGGCGATTGCGCCACAACAATGCGACATCCCACCAATGCTGGACTGGGTTATCTCGTTTCGATAGCGGCACACACCACATCGCCTCAACCGGCATCAGGCTGAGTAACTTAACAGATCACTGCAACAAAGACTGACTTAGTTACCCATCCTAACGATTACTATACATTGGCAAACTCAACCGCTAAAATGCGGATTTCAATGATGCCGCAGATGCCTCTCCCAGTCACGTGCTGCTTACTATCTTCGTGTAATCGCTCTACAGAACCTATCATCGCGCAGAGAGCGTGCCGAAACATGCCGGTAACTCATTGAACATCATTGCCATGCGGCAGCCGATGCATCAGATGCCTTTGCGGCACCCAAGTGTCCCCAGTTGGGCAGGTCGATTATAGAGCATGGCACCATGGGCACTGATGCGGTGGATGGACAGTTTAGTATAAGAGAAGGCGCTCGTTGATGGGCAACGCATCATCAACCAAACTCCATCTCAGTCAGCTCGAGAAGCAAGTCGCGACGAAAGGTGTCATCATGTCCAGCCCCATCAAGAACGTCATCATCCTAGGAGCATCCGGTTCTGTTGGTGCACCCATACTTGACGCGCTCCTCGCGGAACCCTCCTTCAACGTAACCATCGTCAGCCGCGCATCCTCATCAGCCTCGTTCCCATCTCACATCCCCATCATCAAGATCTCGGACGCCTTCACGACAAAAGAGCTCACAGAAGCCTTCAAGGGTCAAGATGCAGTCGTAGTCGCGCTATCTACCAGCCCAGTCACCGCTGGCGGAAGAGATGGTCTAGCATTCCGCCTCATCGACGCTGCACTCGCAGCAGGCGTCAAACGATTCATCCCCAGCGAATTCGGCGCCAACAATCTCGATCCCCGGGCTCGCGCCCTCGTACCGATATACGACCTCAAGGGAGAAATGCTGGAGTACCTCATCAAGACAAGCGACAACAGTCATGGAAAAATGACATGGAGCAGCATTTGTTGCGGTAGTTGGCTGGACTGGGCACTCGATCCATCAAAGTCTGGTAACTTCCTCGGCATAGATGTAAAGGGGAGGCAGGCGACGGTGTACGATTCTGGGAATAGGCGCTTTGCCGTTACGAGTAGCAAGAACACCGGTCTTGCAGTTGCGCGTGTCTTGGTCTATCCTGAGTTGACCGCAAACAAGCAGATCTTTTTATGTGACTTCGCGGTCAGCACCAGGCAGATTGTTGAAGCATTGGAAGGGGAGACTAAGGCCAAGTTCCACGTTGAGGGGAAGGAGAGCGGCACAGAGATCAAGCAGTTTCGAGAGAAATTCGAAGCAGGGGATTTGAATGCAACGTTTCGGTTGTTGGCAATCAGTTTCGGGGCTGATGTAGACGTTGGTTACGATTTCGAGGCTGAACAAGAGATTTGGAATGGTAAGCTGGGGCTTCCCAAGATGACACTCGAAGAAATGGTTCGTGAGGCTGTAGATCTGGCGGCCCGCTCCTAGGAGTAGCAGAGGTTGAGCTAGGGTTAGGAGGGGACATGAAAGTTACTATTATCTACTACATACCTCCTCTCCTCACAGCCATGGCACACCACACAGTTCTATCCTCCCACTCTCTACTCTCCCCTAGATCGTCTTCACCGGCCCACCCGGCGGCGTATACCCCCTCTGCCCCGCCTGCACCTGCCAAAGCTGCACAAGCACTCCCTCCTTATCATCCGGATCATACGCCCCCGGCAGTCCCACACCGCCCGGCAACCCCATTTCCCCATTTCCACCAACCTTTATCTGCACACACGCCGGATAAAACTGCGCCCCCATCCTCGTCCCCGCAACATGCAGCCCCAGTATCTCGTGCCTGAGCAGGTACTCGCCGGGTTTCAGGCCAGCGGGTATGGTAACAGTCCAGCTGGCGCTTTGCTTGGCGAGGTAGTCGGAGCCCCAGGGAGGGGATTTGCTGGTGTCGTAGCCCATTTGGTCGAATTTGACCCAGGGGGTTCCGGTGTCGCCTTTGAAGGTTGTGCAGTTGCTGCCGCAGGAGGCGAGGTAGTTCATTACGGGGCCGGAGTGCGAGGAGCCCCATTGGTCCCATTGGAGTTTGCTGGGTGGATGTCAACGTGAGTGTCGAAGTCGGAGATGGTGTGTTGATGCTTTTCATCCAGCAGAATACTAGGGAGGAGAGCAAGACAAAGAGATGAACATACACCTTATCCCCCGGCACAACCGGTATAACGCCTTTCGCTGGCAGGTTACCTCCCACATTGCACGTAATGTCTTTGGACGTGAAGTCAGGAACCGGTCCGTTGTCTTTGATGCGACGGGCGTAGCGGACGGGTTCGGGAGTCAGGTAGTCGTCCTGGCCGACTTGCCAGGCTAGGTAGTTGGCTCCGCCATTGACCGAGATGGACTTCAGGTAGCCGTGAGCCGATGCGGAGGTGATGAAACCGAGGAGCGAGATGGCAGATATGAACATGATGATGGTGTTGAGCGAGCTGCAGTGGATAGCAGCTGGATGTGTTTGATCTTGTTGACCGTGTTCCCGTCGCTGAATGTTGTGGTTTATATACCTTCACGACCATGCCTAGGTATCCTTTCTCAGCACCATCTGCATACAGTCCTGCAGTGTAACGATGTTCGACCCGGAATCCGTAGATTAGTACAATGCTTGTTTAGCGATCGCCTGCTGCTTTTTGGTGGATTATTCCATGCTAATTCTAGAAGGCGTGGACGTGACTCAATTTAGATTGGGCGCATATTGCTACAGGGCGGAGTGGATCCTCCGTGTCTAAATTGGGCGGCGAGGCGGAACGTCGGACATCGTTTCAGTCTTCGTAGCACATCGGAACACGGTGGGATAATACGGTATGCGAAAGATTGAAGCTATTGAATGAGATTTGACGGATTCCTACTAGAGTCCTCATGAGCTCGTCGAAATCGCAACGCGAAGATCACGTGCAGAGAAAGTATTTGTCTGCAGATAGATCTATACATCGCCCCAGACGCCACGCATACCAACCATCAGTACCTCTTGTATCTTCCCCGACAATACCTAGCACTCGAAGTAGCAGGTCGACAGCCTGTCCCAATAGTCCCGGTCCTGGTTGACCCACTCAGTGCGGTTGCACGAAGCATCCTTCCAGCCCTTGAAGCTATCGTCGAATTCGACAGTGCCGACCATACCGCCAGTATACTGGAACTTGAACCACTCCCAGTGTGCACCAGGAGTCATGTTGATCCACCTAAGGCTGAAGGTGTCCGTGGGCTTGAAGAGACCGTGGATCTTGAGTGCTTGGCCCGGTGGCTTGCCGTCGATCGACTTTCCGTTGAGCATGCCCTTGAGAGGCTCACCGTCGTCCCAATTGCGTGATGTTAGTGTGTGTTTTGCTGTCATGGCTAGCTAGCCGGTCATGGTGAGAGTGGTTTACGTACGTCATGCCTTCGATCGTCTTGTTCTGACCGTCCGAAAGGGCGACCCAGACGGTGGTGTCGATATCTTGCGGATTCTGGGGCTTCTTCTCGACGATGTTGAGGTAGAGGTAGCACATGCCGTGAGAAGGTGGATCTTGTCTCGCGACGGCGTCGGAGGTCAACATGGCGACATCGGAGGATGCAGTGGGCACCGCAGCAGCGTTGGCGACGTTCCAGACGCTCAAGGCAATCACCAGAGCGGTGTTGAGAAGCTTCATCGTGAAGGAAGTGATGTACTTTCGGTAATGGTGTAGGAGCTGTAAGATGAAGTGGACGAATTGGTTGTGGTTGCGTCAAGGGAGGGAAATTTGCAGAGATGCAGAGACTTTTGAGCGGCAACAGATTGCAATAGCAGTAAGCGGTGAAAACGCGGATTCGATGTGAAGCCGGCTAGAACATTGAGAGCCGACTGCGGAAGGCACGACTAGCGGTGACGACGCGTAAACACAAACAATCAGCGCACCAAAAATGCACCAGACGCACTGCCCATACTTTTCGTAAAAGATACACAAACACACCGAAATAGAAAGCTGATTCGCTATCATCAAGAACCCACTTCCATATCATACAATCTTCGCTCCAAACGCCAATGTAATGCAAATCACAAACGGCTGGCCCAGACGGAGCTTTCTAGCACCGTAAGAGAGGGAGTCATTAAGCGACGATATCCACCAGGATGATTAAGTATTAAGCAAAGGTCGTGTCACGTTTCGTGCTTCCTCGTCAATCTCCTCTTGCGTTGGGGGTGTCAAACGAATACTTCGGAGCCAGCCGTACCACCGTCAAACGTGCTTGTAGATAACCGGGCTCTTGGGTGGGGTGTCCACATTGATCGAGTCTACTCTCTTCCTGGGGGTGCCGCTGGGTGAACCCGAGCCCACGTTGTCGTACTCGTACCAAACGCCTTTGACCCGCCTGTTCAGCTTCCGAGGAGGTGGGCTGATGCGGGTTGCGAGAGCATTGAACGAGCTAGTGGATAGTGACTGGTTGCTTGCGGTATCCGAAATGACATTGGAAGTGAACTGTGTGACCGAGTCGCCGAGGTTCTCGATAGTGCGCATCATACCCTGGCAGGTCTGTGATAGCTCGATCTGGTTCTTGGACAGGGTCTGGAGTTGAGAAACGGTCGTCTTGAGTATGTCCTTGGTTTGCTCCTGAGACTTGCGCGTTTGCTCTTGTGATTTCCGCGTCTGTTCTTGACTTATTCTGCTTTGCTCATGCGACTGGAAAGATGTGTTGGAAAGGGCAATGTAGTGTGACGCGTTCTGATCGACAAGCGCTTGAAGCTTGATTTGGGATTCGGAGATGGCCTTGATCTGGATACTGTTCGACTCGTTGATCTCTTGCATCGCTTGTAGGCCTGTCGATTGCGCGACCGATAGCGCGTGGACTTGCTCGGCATTGCTCTCGACTATACTTGCCAGCTGGGTCAGACTCGCTGCCAGGCTGTCGATAGCCGATGTGCTCGCCTTCTCTTCGCATGTGTGTGGAGGCGCGACGGCGGGAATACCGTTCGCATGTTGCAGGGGTAGGACAATCGGCGGGCATGTCGGGCTATCCTGGCACGTGTAGAACCACTTGTTCTGAATATCGGAGAACCTGGGGTCTTCCATTATGAGCTCCATGTCTTCGCTCCTGACGACGAAATACTGCGGGCTCGGTCGCGACGACGACGTGTATTCCTGCTGGACCAGATTCCACCATTGCGTGCAAATGGCGGCCGAGGCGAAGGTGAGGATGTATGGAGGAGATGCAGGATAGTCGCTCTGAAGCACAAGTCAGTACGCCGTTGTTGGCCGGTCGATGGCACACAGTGCAATTGGCATCGCTCACCCTCTGCGCGTAGGCGTAGAACAGATTCCCACCCTCTTCCATCTCAACCCTCTTCTCCTGGGCCGGTCGGCTCTGGCTTCGTTTGCGCGGCGATAGTGATCCAGTCGCTGGTGGGGTGTCGGTGTTCATCATCAGTCCAGCAGCGAGCGAGATGCTCGGCTTCTTCCTCATATTCTGAGGCTTTCGCTCTGGTGATGTCTGTCGTCGACTATGACTGTGTATGCGCTTCTCGAAGTTGGAACTGGAAGACTCAAAGACAGCCTGCGACATGGAAGATTCCATGAGCGCGGCGAAATCAGGCATGCTCTGTGGACGCGACATGTCTGGATGGGACGGCGATTCGGGTTCGGAGGTACAGTGGCAGCAGAAAGTATCGTCGAAGTTGTTGGCCAAGTGACACCTAAACGACATAAAGAGACATATGGACGACACAATCTCTTGAAAGCCCAAGAACAAATAAAACACCAAGCGACCGGGGAGGGGCTGGCGAGCTATGGTAGTGTATGAGGTTGCGGCTGGCCGTTATCCCTGTCGATGACCTCACAGTACCACGGCTTTACTGGGATGCGCGTGCGCTTGGGGGTTCTGTACCAGCGGAAGACGGGAAGTCTAGATGTCAATGGATGTCAATTGTCTCATCGCATGCTAGCTCCCTGGCTCGCGGGAAAAGCATCGCAGCGAACGAGGGGCTCCAGCCTGCTCGACACGAGAGGACGCGCATGTTGTTGTTACCCATCAAACGGTACCTGTCTCATTAGCGAATGCAGGGGGCTGCGCATCAGGATCGCGACTTCAGGGGGGAAGAAGGAACGTCCTCCGCCTGGAAATAGGTGGATTTTAGGCCGCGGCTCGTTGACGAGATAGCCGGTGCGCTGCAGTTGGTTCGCGATGTACCGGGGCGGAGCCGCGAGCGAAGTTTGGCGCGGCAGCTGGCAGTGGGGCATGACGTCGCGCACGTGCGGGCGCAGGCGCAGAGCTTCCAGCGTCCTTGGAAAAGACGTTATGCGCACGATTATAGACATGCTTCGGCGATAATTGTGTTTCTTGCAGTCCCATCGCGGTGTGGACACTCGGAAAAACGCGTGTATCTCTGTGGAGAACATGTCGATCTGATTGGCCGAGGTAAGCAAATGGGCGTGGGTTTTCTTTTCTTAGAAACAAACTACATCAGCCTCTTCATTTTGACATCCTGTTTGAGCATGTGGTCCGGTATCAGTTGTCACAACAATGCAGAAGGGAACCAGGGTGTTATGAATGGAACTATTGATTCCTGCTAGATAGATGATATCCAAGGTGCGACGTGCAAGCTGCGTTGCCAACGTGTCCTTTCGATCATCAAGTTGATATACCTTCATATGTAAAACCTCGTAAATGTTACCAATCTTGAGCATGTCAACGAACACCCCGGTAGAGATATCTGTCCAACGCCCAAGAAATATCCGCATGCGCTGCTGTCCATTCAAGATGGCAACTTTTGGGAACGTTAACGTCGCACCAGCGATGACAGCTCTGAACGGGCAGCTAATTGGAGTCGTCTTGGTCAACGCCGACCTTGACTTCGAAGTGCTCCATGCCGCCAAAGCCGTGCTTGGATAACCAACCAGTAGGAACGACCGACTCAAACTGGGTCATCCAAGGCTCAGCAGACTCCTTCTTGAAGATGATGTGCAGGTAGGGCTTGGTGACGGCAGCGACAGCAGGGACTACTACTCCAAGAGTTGCTGCAAGGGCTACCAAGGCAGGGGCTGCAGGAACTGGAGCAGTGTCACGCTGGGCAGGCTTGCGATGAATACGAACTGACGCCAGTGAGCGGCTACGAAGGATAGAGCGCCACTTTCCGTTCATGCTGGAGCATTGACGGTTTTGAAGGACGCGACGGCCGAACAGGCGGTAGCTGTAAGATGATCAGTGAATAGATCATTTAATGAAAGAGGCAGGGAAACTCACAGGTCCTTGGCTTCACCATCAGTCTCGGCAACGTAATTGGCCTTGAGGTAGCGACCGAACCCAGCTTCAATCTTGAGGCTGTTGGCCCAGATGTCAAGAAGAGTAAAGACCTCAATGCCATCACCAGCACGCTCCAGCTCGTTGGGCTTGTCTCCAACCGCGATGGTCAGGTTGCCGACAAAAGGCGCGTCCTCGCTGCGCTCTCCTGGAGGACCGAGGTTGGCGACGACATCTGTGGCGGTCGGATAGAAAGTCTTGAGGTAGTCCACGATCTCGGTGAGGTCCATGCCGATCTCCTGCTTGGCCATGTAGATGGGACGGTACTCAGCCCTGAGTTGACGGCATACCTGGGTAAGGCCCCAGAAGGGACGGTTAGTCTCTCGAGGCTCTGTCTTGGGCTTGGGCTTAGTCGAAAGACGAGACTTGTTGTTGCCGCCCGAGATCTTCTTTTCCTGGTCCTGGTCGACGATGTCAGACGCCAAAGTACGGCCGCGATCGAGACGAGTGCGGGGACGCAGAGAGGCGAGGCGCGGGCGGTAAACGAGGAGGGCCTGCTTGGGACGTCCATAGGTGTGCATGTAGATCTGGTTCCTGAGTTCTGTCAAGAGTTAGATTGTGTCAAATAGGCCAGATTCAAGTGACTTACCTCCGGGGAGGTCCATGAAGCGGAACGGCTTCTGCAGAGCGGGGTCGCTGGTGCCGACCTTCTCTTTGAGAGCAGCATCGACCAACTTAGCCATGGTGCCATCTGGCTTCTTCTTGGTCTTCTTCTTGACACCGGCATCAGTGCGCGCGTGACCTCCACGCTTGCGCTTGCTCTGGCGGATAGGCAGGGCCTGCGCAGGGACAGGACTCATGGTGAGTGCCGCGAAGCCAGGTACAGGCAGTCCAGGGGAGGGCGGCACAGTCGCATGCTCCGAGCCCATGATGACGTTGAAACCGCCTTTGAAGCCATTTCGGCGTGAATTTGGTGTAGAAGGGGCAGGAACGACTGGCGGATGACCAAACTTCCTGGGAGAAGAACGGGAAGGAGGTGGGGTGCTCGGGCGAGTAGGGCTGTCTGAGTTAGCAGAGTCCATCAAACCAATACTGAGAGCTTTGTGGGGAAATCATAAGCTCTACGTGTGAAGAGAGGGGACTTACGCCATGAGGTCTTGTACTTCCGGCTTGTTGCTGGAGTTGAGAGAAGCTGCTGATAGCGTGAGAAATAGTGATAATCAGATATTCAAGATAATTGCGGGATGTAGAAGTAATGGAGCGTAGGCCATCGAGATTCTTATATCTCTTGCGAAGTAAAGGTGAGCGAGGAAGCGCCAACGATAATCGCCACCAGAGTGTCTGACGGTGACTGGAGAAATTGCCTGAATCGGAAGTCACCTCGACATTAAGCCTCAGGTAAGAGGGCGAGGATGCTTGGCACGCCATTGTCTTAATCGTGTGTGGTGTTGGTATCATTAAGTTTGGAGGGAAAAGTATTGAGTACGATGTCATCGTACCAACAATCCAAGAACGTGGAAGGAGCGCGTGATTCAATCGCGTGGTTGTGGGTAGGTCTTTCCTATTGTACCTGCGAAGGAAGGCAGCATTGCATTGCCAGTTGCAGTCACGACGACAGGTCATCAATCGAGAGCACCCAGGTGTAGACCCTGAATATGAAGGTGAGGTGACATTGTAGGTGGTAGCAATTTTGTAGAAAGCCATTCCCTCCAACATTTACCTCCGGTATCGGGCTCGTGACCAAGAACAAGAACGTGCCATTGTAGGGTATTCAAACGTGCTATTGTGTTGAAATGCGCCGTCAATGTGCTTCAGCGTGATCGCTTTTCCTTATCGTAGTGGTGGTATGATAGAGGCAGGTGAGGTGGGAGCCTGAACTAGATAGAAAGTCCCCTCTGCAAACAAATGGCTGCTGGGATAGTTGCGATGCAAGACACGGGGACAACGCAATAAGTGGCAATAGATAAGAGTACTGAGTACCGAACGACGCTGTGGTGGCTGTGGTGGGAGCAAACTCGAGTACAGGCAAGCGCCCTCTTATATGCAAGACGGTAGCGGGAGCGGTAGAGCCTGGCAGAAATCGAAACTACAGCCTGATCTATCTGAAAGGAGATCAGATTTCACAACAGGAGACGCATTCAATGAGGAAAGACCCGAAGTTCGTAGTAGAAGGAGCGGACTCTAAGACCTGCCTGCGCTATGACATCATCATCCTCGCGAATGTAATCGCGGCATCCAGAATACCTACCTAGGTAGGTACCTGTCGCATTGCTGCACTCACAGTATCATGTATTAACGAGTAAATTTCGTTCAAATTGTTGTAAACTTCTGACACAGCCATACCCTAACTCCCTGAGACATCAATGTACAGTACGACACGAATTCTGATCCCCCATGATGTGATTTTCGATTATGTTTACGTTCTTAGAATCGCTCGCCCCTCCGTCTGCAGTAAAGCCACGCTTATTGACAGTAGGCTCTTTACGCGTAGCCCATCGTAGAATCCCAAACTTCAACTCGCATGCCGCAATAGGCCTCCAAGGCTTTTTCAAGAGGAAGAATCCGCTGGGTAGTGTAGTATGGCGTATATTTTCCGCCTGTTCCAACCTCTACAGCTATGACTGGGCGGGCATACACATCATAGTGCTCGATTTTAATGCTGTCAAATATGTTTTCGCGTATAGCTGTGAGCCAGGTGGGGTCGTCGTATTGGAGAAGAAGACATAGTTTGTGGCAAAATTCCTCTGCCAGGCCCCTGAGTTCGAGATCGGGCTCATCGCATGGATGGTAGGCAGCTTCCAGGGCAGCCTCAAAGCGAGTCGATGTCCAATGCGCGCGAAACATTAATAGTTCGTCCAGATCTTCAATCATTGCCAAGCATGTAGAATTCTGGGAGACACAAACGTGGCCCAGTGGCCTCATCCATGTAACTTCCTCTTCCTTGCCCAATAGAAGTCGCACGACGCGAGGACCACCGCTCATATTCGGTCCGGCTGGGTAGAATGTATTGAACCAATCCTGCATAAAATCGATTTTGTCCCAGCGGAACGCGACTACCGCTTCACGACGCTGAATGGGCAAGTATTCAGCTCTAATCTGCCGGCAAACTTTCGTGAGCCCGGCACCGATGCCCGAGAGAGAGGGATCAGGCTGGTATCTCATGCTTGAGATGATTTGTTCTTCAGACAAGGAAGCGAAGTGGTACACCCGATTACGCAATTCTGTCAACCGTCAGTTTTATGTCTTGCAAAAGAGAAGGAGAGAATCTCGTACCTGGTATAAGATCGAGGAAGCGGAAAGTCATCGTGACTGTGTGGTAGATCGAGAAGTGGATTGTAAGTCTCTTTGATGGTAGCTGTAAAGTGAGCGTGTTCGCGGATCGAGATCGGTATGCAGGGGTATCGCTATGTAGGCGGTGCAAATATGTTATATAGCTTTGCTCCTGACTCACATCTAAGTGCGATGCGAAAACTTGGTTCATCCACTTCGTCCTATGGTACTGCGGTGCGGAGCAGACTAGCGAATCACAACTTCCGAAATCTACATAACACCCAGTCAATTCGTTTTCCCCGACTAAAATGTGTCGTAGCACAAGAGCTTGCGTACCACAATGTGGCAAGTGAACGGAGAGGAGTGCTCACGAAAGATGATTGACTACGCGAGCTCTACCAGCTCCGAGCCCGCCTACATTGAGCGCCAACCCGCTCATAGCCTCTGAGAGATAATCGAAATCTTTCGCAAAATGAACTGGTCAGGCAACTAGGTGATTCGATCTACTTTTCATTCAATTCTTCCTACACTACAAACTTGGTGACGCATGCTCATCAGGCGATACGCTTGATGACTTGATTCGAGTGGCTCCTCAACCTCGCTCAAGTGAACATGGGTGAGAAGTACAACGCAACATGATGACCGTGTGATAGCGCGACGTCAAGACCGCGAGCGCTGCTCCACGCATCAGGCGCGCTGATCGCTTCAGCGTAGTTCTTTTGGGCGTGGACACCCGTGAAGTTGATACAAATACATGTAGTCTCAACGAATGATGCGCTTGATCTGATCCGGACATCTCCAATGATCCCGTTCCTAATATCCTCGCGCCACTTTTCGTTCGCATGGAAAGCAAGTGCGTTGAGACCCCGAACTTGGTCCAAATCCCGGAAGAACATGCCGTGCTGTGCACATCCCCAGGCGTTCGCAATGGTGGCGCGCACAATCTCGCAGTCCAGGCCAGGGTGGGTAGCCTTGAGCTTGAGGACCGAGAAGATGCTGTAGTGAGAGCCGTGAACTGAGAATACCGCGAATCTTCCTTCGACGCGTATTTTGTGGGGGAGAGACATGGAGTCTTCGGCTGGCGTGAGGAATGCCTGAGCATAATAGCCAACATTTGCAAGGTCCAACCGAACCTCAGCCATGCGACGTTGGATCGGGCGGTATTCTCGGCGGATCTGGACACAAACTCTGGTAAGACCCGCGTAGGTGCCAGACTGGAGAGAGGAATCGTGTCGGATTGGAACGTGTGCGTCGTTGATTGATGCGAAGTAGTACACCATATTGCGCAACTCTAAACAATGTTAGTAGCTCCTCTCGCGCGATCCAGGATGAGAGAAGTAGCATACCCGAGCTGAGGTCGAGGAAGCGAAAGGCCATAGTGACTTTGGTACTTTTGAAGCAAATGGGTAACTTGGACGACGGTAGTATTTGACGGAGACTCAGATGTAAACGTGGTGGCTTATCGAGAGTTTGATAGCGAAGGTAGCGACTCATTGTAAGCGAGGTCAGGAATTAGTTTACCCGCACGTGAGCCCAGGCAGTAGCGCTATGACCTACAGAGAGCGGTGAGTCACTGACAGCTTACTTATTACGTAGTGAGTGATAGATGATTGCATTTTGTATCTTTCTGCGTACCATTTACGTCTGGGAAGTAACCTTCAATGGAAGCTCCAGTACTATTCCTTGTGAAGAAAGCTAAAGTCGATGCGATGACCATGCGATGCCGGAGCATGCAGACCGTGAGAGATACGCCACTCCTCGTCGCCTCTCCGTGTTTTTGGCCAGTTCCTGTAACCAAGCATACCCATGAAGACGATCTCAACCCGTGTAAACCCGATTTCCATCTCTATGAAGACTTCTCCAATCGAGCCGTTGCTGATACACGCATGCCAGTCCTTGTTTGAGTGAAGGAGCAGCGAGTTCAGGTCCTGTGCTTGCGTCAAGGCCATAGTCGCGAGAGCAGCAGCCGTGTTCTGCAGGCTACTCGCCACGAATGGAAACCCACTTGGGATAGTAACGGGCACGATCCTGATGTCCAAGCGGGGGTTCGCAACTTTGACTTCAAGAATTGGAAGTGAGTCGAAAGTAAGAGAGTATCCTGGCCTGCTGAGACGGGATACCCGGACGTGAACCTCAAGAGGGAGAGTCATCTTGTCGGTGGCTGAAGCGAGAAAGGTCCGAGTAAAGTCATCAAGGTTTGAAAAGGCCACGGAAAGTTTGGCCCTGCGACGCTGCATTGGTCGATATTCAGCTCGAATCTGAACGCAAGCTCTCGTAAGACCCGCATAGTTGCCATCTTCCCTATGAGGCTGCCGGAATAGAACCAACGGCTCGTCACCGGCTGCCGCAGCGATCTCGTAGATGCGGTTGCGCAGCTCTGCATGAGATCAGCGCTGTCTGGGTGTGCAAGTCAAATGAATAGAGTGAACGACTGAGATTGCGTACCTGATGGGAGATCCAGAAACCTGAAGACCATTTTTGCGAACCCTTGCGTTGACGGATGGTTCTGATGTGTTCAAGCTCGATGTAGAGTTGCGTGTCCACAGTGTAATTGAGGGAGCAGGATTGTTGTGAGAGTGCAGGCAGGACCAATCTAGCGACGGACCGTGCACGCTAAGCCCAGAGGGCTCATTGTGCTTCTGAGGAGTGAAAGAAAGCACAGCTGGGTACGGTTTCCAGGATTGCCCGCAGAAATTTACAAGCTATTTTCGCACGACCTGCGTCGACTAGTTGAGGGGATCATAGTGATTGGCCGGGAGACACGTTGAACGGAACTGCCTTGACTACAGCTCCCGTTTCCTCCGCCGCCTCATTCTGAAAAAGTTTGACTGAAGAGAGTCACCGGAGAATATGGTCAGGTCCCGGGCGAAGTAGACTGTTACCTCATCCTCGTATTCGAGGCGTACTCCAGAGGGCCGTGTCTAGTACGATGCGTAACAACGACAGTTCACACCGTACAGAAGCAGATGGCTGTGCGAAGAATGAGATCCGGTTGCCGCAAAGGACGCGCCATGGCTGTCGTGCGGAACACCCAAAGAAAGAGTTGAGGAGAGGCAATGAACTCATGTTTGTCTGACTGATCTTTTGCACCTAAAGCCACTGATCTTTTGCACCTAAAGCCACCTCTGACATTCCAGCCGAGGCAAAGCGCACTCAACACCCAGCAAAGTATCGTGGGCACAAGTAACAAAAGAACAACGCAGTCGGTAGAAGACACGGTACGAGCCGCTTGCTCAGAAGGAAGGTAAGCCGAGCGCAACGGGCACCATCCCATTTCAGGAACCATCCCGCCCCATCCGGACGACAGTCCTCCAGATCTGCCCCGCAACACCACCCCGTGACGCAATGCCATCCCATGTTTTGCTCGGCGGGGTAAAAGCTGCACCGTCAGAGTCGCGGCCTTTGAGCCTCACTCGGCAGACCTTCCTCCGCCTAATCTTACACGTCTAGATACATAAGTCGAAGACCTCCGACTCCGACTTCTTACTATACAGACTGCAAGTTTACTCGTCTTTTTCGTAATTCACGACTCTTTTCCAAGCTTCTCCAGCATATCTTTTCTCCCCAGGAAACCGCCAAAATGTCCATGTCCGTCGAAGAATGCCAGGCGCCACGCGCCGGCTTCCCCAAACCCGTGCCAGACACACCCACAAACGTCATGCAACAATTCAGCATGAAAGGCAAAGTCATCGTCGTCAACGGCGCAGCCGAAGGAATCGGTGGAGCCGTAGCCGACGCCATGGCCGAAGCAGGCGGCAACGTAGCCCTGTGGTACAACTCCAACAGCGCCGCGATAACCCGCGCGGAGAACCTCGCAAAGACACACAACGTCAAGACAAAAGCCTACAGCGTGAACCAAATCAACGCCGAGGCAGTCCAAAAAGCCGTGCAACAAGTAGTTGAGGACTTCGGCCGCATCGACGTCTTCGTCGCCAACGCCGGCACAGGAGATAGCAAGCCGCTCCTCGACCAAACCCTCGATAGCTACCACAACCTCATGAAAGTCAACGTCGACGGCCCCGTTTTCTGCGCCAAGTACGCTGGCGAGGTATTCAAGAAACAAGGATTTGGCAACTTGATCCTTACCAGCTCCATCTCCGCGCACATTGTTAATGTACCCATCGACCAACCCATCTACAACGGTACCAAGGCGTTTATCTCGCATCTGGGCAAGTCGCTGGCGAGGGAGTGGAGGGAGTTTGCGAGGGTGAATATTGTTAGCCCGGGGTTCTTTGATACCAAGATGGGGGCTGGGCCGCAGGTTATTAATGAGGGGTTGAGGATGATTCCGCTGGGGAGACAGGGTAATGTCAAGGAGATTAAGGGGTTGTTTTTGTACTTGGGTAGTGATGCGTCGAGTTATATGACAGGAAGCGATTGTATTATTGACGGTGGGTATGTACTGCCATAGATGTGTAGTGGATAGAGGAAAGGAATTGATACCATGTCTGTTATTCATTGAATGCAGGAAAGCTATACCCGTTGCCTGCGTCGTGTATTCCTAATCATGGACATTGTTCTAGCTCTTCAAACATTTGATTAGGGTGAAAGGTTGAAATTAAAAGGTATATGTGCTCGCTAAGCCCAGATGAAAAGAAATTGGAAACACGATGAGAACTCTACTCATCTTTACTCCTCGCCCTGTCCAGGCTCTCCCGCTCGGTCGTCTCACCACTTCCCGCTTCAACACCTTCGCTTCCCTTGCTCTCTTCATCTCTCCTCTTGTCTTGAGCGATATCTGGCGCAGGTGCAAAGTTACTCTTGCCTCGGATTGCCTTACCAAATACATAGAAGACCACTGGCATCGGTACAAGTACGAGCGCCACGCAGCCAAGCAGTGTACTGGCCCATTGGATTCCCATACCATTGAACATGAAGGTTGCGAATAGTGGGAAGACTCCACCAAACATGGACCGCATAAAGGTGTTTGCTGCAATAGCGGAAGCAGCAAACATAAGGTACGCGTCGACAATGTAGTTGAGAAGCGAGAGGAAGATGGAAAAGATTCCGAAGCCGGTGAAGAGACCGCTCAGGACAGGGACGATCCAGTGAACATTGCCGGTGTAGCCTGTCCATCCGAACCAGAAGAGACCGGCTGCGAAGAGCACACCACCGACCATGCTGATGGGTAGGCGCCATTCTGGGACGGGAATGTTGTTGTTGGCTTCCAGCTTTTTGATGTATCGTGGGTTGTCGACGACAATGATGATGAAAGCGATCACTTCACCAGCGACCATGCCGAAGTAGGCAAGTCCGCCGATGCCGGGACTCCAGCCGTAGACGCCTTGGAAGACGAGGGCGTATGCGGTAAGGAAGAGGTAGAGTAAACCATCTAGAATTGTTAGCTCAGTTCTTGTAACAAGACGGGGTGATCCAACTTACATATAAAGCTCATGTAGATGGTGATGAGCAGTACAATAGGCTCGGTGAAGAGAATGCGCATCGGTCGGCTGACGTTCTTAACGATCAGCTCCTTGAAGTCGACTTCAATTTCCTCCTGCTTGGCGTGGATACCCCAGTTCTTGGTTCGTCTCCTCAGCTCGCTCGCCTTGTTGATCAGCACGACAGGCGGGTATGTCTCTTCCATGAAGAAGAAGAGCAGAGCGAATGACAAAAAGCCCATAAAACTGCTGATGTATTCGGTCCACCGCCATCCAAGATCGCTCTGGGTGATGAACCCTCCGATGAAGGGTGCGAGTAGAGGGCCCATGAAGACGGTTGCGGAGAAGACTGCGACGGCGAGACCGCGGAGTTTGTTGTCGAACATATCAGCGAAGACGGCGGCGACGATAGCGAGAGGAGAGGAGCCGAAGAGACCGGCGAAGAATCGACATATCATGATGGTCTGGATATCTTTGGCTGCGGCGACGGCGATGCTGAAGATGGCAAAACCAAAGGCGGCGATGATGAGGGGAGGTTTTCGGCCATACAGCTCCGAGAAAGGTGCCCACATCTAGAAGTTGTTAGCATATCTGACCGCAGTCTATGGTCAGCGTTCACTTACCAAAGGTCCAAAGGCATATCCAAAAACGAACAAACTCGTTCCTAGAGTGCCCACAACATTGGCAACACCGTATTGTTGCGATACTGCTCCTGTAGCGGCCGAGAAGATACTGCTACCCATGGTGGCTGTGAGGGCGTCGAATGCTAGGATAGCACCAATGCCAATCTTCTTCTTCATCGGCCAGTTCTGCGCATGCAGCGGATCGTCGACGCCGTCGAACTCGACTACATATTCTTCCCTGTCCGGTAGCAGCGGGGGGAAAGGCTTGCCAGCTCCTAGGTTCGGCAATGGCTTCTCTGTACGACGGCGTGTGAGGGTCCTCGATAACCGCGAATCGACGCGCGATGCACCGACTGTGCCTGCATGCTGACTTCTGTGTGTCTCGATTCGGCGGATAGCTTCGGGGTTGCGTTCAGTGGGATGTAGTGTCAGGTAGTTGCCGCTCGAGGCCTGCGAATTGACGGTCGGTCGGCGGTCGCGTGCGGGGGTTGAGCGGGCGGTGCGTATTTCTTCGAGACGTGCGCTATGTGTGGATGCAGAGCTTGCAGAGCTAACAGTCGAAGCCGAAGATGTGCTGTGCCGTGAGAGAGGCGAGGCAACCTCCTCTTCCTTTTCTCTGATGGGTGATGCTACTGCTTCTGTTGGGAAGGATATCTCGCTCTGGGTGCGCTCTCCTCGTTCGTGTGCTTCGATGTTGCGCAGGCGCTCATCAGGTGTCTGGTCATGCAAGTGCCGTCTGTGGTACTCTTCGCGAAACTGGCGGTGCGGGTCCCAATTTGCGAAGCGCTCAGGGCTTGCGTTCGCCTCATTGCGCAGGATATCCAGGTCTTCGTTCTGCATCTTGATCGCAATCTCCTCTTTCCTCGACCAAGGTTGTGAGAGTGGCTGTCGCGCTGGAAAGCGATAGAAATTGCCAGCGCTCGGCTGTCGGAACAATAATAGTAAATGTTCAGCCCGACGACGAGGCCGTTGTGGATCGTGTGGATCTAACGCGCGACGGTACGACTAGTCGTGACCGTGTTTTCGGGAGATGGACGCGGGTGCTGTCAATGGCGATGAACAAGCTTCAATCGTTCAATCGCTTGACAGCAGCCCGTCGCCCTAAGTATCTGGCGCGCGTGGCCGTCATGAGCGAAAGATTTGCTCACCTGCACATCTCCCGCATCTGTTCCATGCGACATGGCGAGAATATTGCCGACACCAGCGTCCGTATCCGGCGGACAGAAGGTGAGTAAGCCACCGCTAGCCGATTGTGCGAAGGCGGTCAGAGCTGTCCTTCATCGTGATTGGGCAGGTCAGTTGAGCGCAGAGAAGAGGTTTGCCGGCGGAAATAGAAGTTCGCCTACGTCATGGGCAGAATCTGCTGGGTAATCAGCGGCGCAGGCCATTGTCATCACCGTGCATACGTAGCGCCTCATGCAAGTGGGGCACCTCGTGGTCCTCAATAGAGAAATCGTCGCAATAGGGGAAGA